TTTGAGTGTGTCTGAGTGTGTCTGAGTATGTGAGTGTGTGTCTTTGTGTTTGTGTGTCTGAGTGTGTGTGTGTGAGTGTGTCTGATTATGTGTGTCTGTGTTTCTCTGTGTTTGAGTACATGTGTCTGTGTGTCTGTGTGTGTCTGGGTGTATGTGAGTGTGTCTGAGAGTATGTCTGATTATGTGTGTCTGAGTGTGTTTGTGTCTGTGTGTCTCTGTGTTTGTGTGTCTGAGATTGTGTGTCTGTGAGTGTGTCTGTGTGTTTGTGTGTGTCTGTGAGTATGTCTGGGTGTATGCTTGTGAGTGTGTGTTTGTGTCTGTGTGTCTGAGTATATGTATTTTGAGTGTGTTTGAGTGTGTGTATATGTGTCTAAGTATATGTATATTGAGTGTGTTTGAGTGTGTGTGTGTATGTGTCTGTGTGTCTGTGTGTGTATGTGTGTGTCTGTGCAGGAGGCTTTGGGGAGGGCTCTGGAGCTTGTGGACTCACTGCTCCTCTTCCCTCTGGGCTCTCAGGGATTCCAGGCACTTCGGCTTCCTGTTCTGTCTTAACATCTCCCTTCAGGGCCTGTGTGCAGGCCCCATCTGCTTCAGTCATGGCGCCTCTGAGGGCTGAGCCAAAGCTGTGCCCCAGCCCAGGATTTTCCATCATGCCCCTGAATTGTCTTTATGCATGTGGACCCTGGTGGTTGCAGACACTGCTGTGGACTGCCTCTTCCTGAGAGGCGACAGTTTACTGGTTTTGCTTCTAGTCCACAGCCTGGCACTGTGGCCCTAACTCACCACTGATCAACAGCCCTTCTTCTTCCTGCTCTGACCTGTATCAGTGCTGTGTGTGTGCCTGTATGCCAGATGTGGTGGTGTGTACATGGGCTGGCATGTGCATAGGATGACATATACATGGGACTATGTGTGCACGGGACAGTGTGTACATGAAAGTGTGTATATGGGACTATGTGTCTATGAGATGATGTATATATGGGACTGTGTGTGCATGGAAGGGTTTGTACATGGGACTATATATACATGGGACTGTATGTACATGGGACAGCATGTGTGCATTAACCCTTGCACACATGTACACAAACAGACATGTGTGAGTGACAGCAAGAGGTGCCTGAGTCCGGGTGGCAGTTCCCCCTCCTGTACTCAGGCAGCCTCCATTGGTGGTCTGGGGGCATCAAGCAGAGCCCAGAAAGAGCCCAGTGGGATTCCGACTCGGAGTACACAGTGGTATGGATGCATGTAAGCATTTAACTCCATGACTTAATCATTGCTTAAACACATGTGAGTTAATGTGTTTTTTTTGTTTATAGAAGTTCATTTGGTGTTTCTATAAATTGATTGATGATGAGCTTAAGTAGGTACAGAAGCAGTAGTGAAGGTGCTGAAGAACTAGTACAAGGACTGAGATGCATGTTTTGCCGGTTTGATCCCCAGCACTGCATGGTCCCCTGAGTGCAGCCAGATGTGGCCCTGGCAGTCCCTGGGACAAGCCAAAAGCCCCAGTAGCCCCTCACTGATGTTTGCTGGAGGGAAGCCCCAGCCTCCTGAGCACCACTGGGGACGCCCAAGAAAGAGCCCAACAGAAAGCTCAGAGTGGTGTGAAATCTGTTAAGGGGTTTCACTGCTCAGACATCCACCTGGTGGAAACTGATGGGCCTTGTCTGCAGATTCTTCCTGGCCACTGTGTGTGGATTTGGTGTCAGAGTGAAAAGGCCAGTGTTGGTGCCAGCTGCGTTCGAAATAGGGTGGCAGGTTTCAGCCAAGGAGCTGATTGAGCTGAAATGCAGACAAAGGTGAGAGACAGGAAGATGGAGGGAGAGAAGCCGGGACGAGCAGGAGCAGCAGCCAGCTTTACATGGCCTCTGTATGGAACACTCCTCTGGGGAAAGTGTTGGAACTGAGACACGGCCTGCGGGACTACGCTCCAACCCCACAGGATCTGACTGTCAGACTTGTCCTCAAGGCTTCTTCTTCCGCAGCACTGCCCTCTCCGGACCCCACTCAAACACCCAAGAGGGGCAGGATCCCCGCCGCACCGCTGCCGGCCTGGATGAAGGTAACCCACCGGACCCTCCCTGGACCCGACACCCTGAGCACTGCAATTCGGGGTGGAGGTAGGGGGGTCACATCATCTGCCACATTCCCTGCCCACCACAGACCCTCAGGTGATTAGGTGCCCCTTGCCTCCCCCAGTCCCCTACTTAATATAGTCACCCACATCTTCCATATCCTGAGAGTGATGATTGTCCTGGGCTGCTGCCCTTTTTTCTGCCTCCTCTTTCCCAATTCCTCTTCCAGGCTGTCCCTCTGTTACTCCTTCCACATTACCCCCAGCCCCTCCCCTTCTTCATTTTCTTCAGAACAATCACTCACTAGCTGACAGCATTCCATCTGTTCATGCTTTCTTCTCTACTAGACCAGTCTGCCAGAGCAGGAGCCTTGCCTGTCATTTACTGTGTGATTTCCCCTTGCACCTGACACCCTCTGCAACAGGGAATGAATGAGAGACACCATATACACCCACCTGACGGGAGAGAGAGGAGCTGATGTAGTCCTCAATGCTTCAGTGCTTTGTCCCTGGAACTACATCCCCTTTCTGCCGACACCCTCCCTTTCTCTCTGCCTGCCCCTTTCTTTTTCCCAGCACTTTAGCTGGAGCTGCTCCCAGCTCTTCAACCAGCTATGCCCTTGATTAATCAGAATATGCACTGCCCAGGACCACAGTGAGGGCATGCAACTCAGCCGTGGCCAATGAGCCTTTGTTCTGAGACTTAGGCTTCATGATCACCATGCAGGAAGGAGGTCCTACTGTCCATCTTGTGGGGGGGGGGGTGTGTTGGGCAGAAGGACCTGGGAACCCCACTTTGCACCTTCGAGCCTCCTGAGCGCCACACCCACCAGCTTCTGCTTGGGATCCCTGTTGACAAAAACATCTTGTGATACTAGCAAAAGCCTCAGGGAGGCTCTTTTTATTGGAAAATAACTTAAAAATCACAGGAGCAGTGCAAAGATCACCCAGGTTCAACAATTGTTGACACGTCTGTTTGCATGTTCTCATAGATATGGGATGATATATGATAAAATTAACATGTAAATTATGAAACAGAATATTAGTAATATCTAAGTTAATGTCTTTTGGAGCTGATAATAAATACAGTACGTAAACAACAGTGCATTCTCTCCAACTCCCCTGTTACATTCCTCACTCCTCCAGCCAGTCTGGTCTCCTTGGAAAGGCTATGCTCACCTCTGTCTCTGAAACTCGAGCTCCCACACCTCCTTTTCCTGCCACCCCCTTTCCACTCTGCTGCTGTGTAGGTGCCACTGTTCAGTTGGCACCCCTTCTTCAGCCCATGCTCCCATGCACTTAGTTTTCATCTCTTTAATCTCAAAAAATTCTTCAACCTTTTATTGAGGGCACTGACTTTTTTGTTTTTGTTTTTGAGCCAAACCCGCCAATGCCCAGGGTTTACTCCTGGACCTATATTCAGGAATCTCTTCTGGTGGTCTCAGGGGACCATACGGGGTGCCGGGAATTGAACCCAAGTTGGCTACATGCAAGGTAAGCGCCCTCCCTGCAGTTCTATCGCTCTAGCCTGGCACTGACTTTTTTTTTTTTTTTTGCTTTTTTTGGTTACACCCGGCAATGCTCAGAGGTTATTCTTGGCTCTGTGCTCAGGAATTACTCCTGGAAGTGCTTGGGGGACCGTATGGGATGCCGAGGATCGAACCCAGATTGGCCACATGCAAAGCAAATGCCCTGCCCTACCTGCTGTACTATCATCCCAGCACTGACATTTTTAAAGACTAGAGTCACATCCTGCCTAATTTGGGGGTCCTTTAAGGCTGTTTTTACATGAGTGTTGGCCTAATGCCATCCAGGATGTGGCCAATCAAGATTCTTACCCATGTTCTCCAATGACTTATTGTATGCCTACACTCATTGCCCCACATCATTAAGGAAAAAAAAAACATGTCATGAAACTAACATAAGAGCAGGGGGGATTCTGATTGGCCCATGTGGAGTCTTTGTTCACCACTGAGTCAGTGATTCGCCAGGGATAGCTCATGCTATGAGATCATATGCCAGGAAAGGAGGAAGCAGGCCTGTGACTGGCTGACTTGGGTCACATGACATGGAAATCTGGAAAACTGGTCTCAGATCGCTCTGGCTTGGGTCCATACCACACAAGGATTGATTGAACCGTAGAACAAACACTTTTCTACAGTTCAATCAGATGATGCTGAGGTTCTCAGTCCTGGCATACACCTTACCACCAGCATGTGCTGGTATCTGGAGTGAGATTGTCCTGGGAAAACTAGGGGTGAGCCTGGCATCTAAGGAATAGGGACCAGAGATGCAATCAGCCTCTGCCCTGCCGGGGACAGCACCCCACAACCCCCAATGAAGTCACATTCGGAAGTAGGAGGTTACATTTCCCTGGGGAAACTCGGACTGACTGCTGGGTTCAAATCCTACTGGCTTCCAGCAGTGATAGCAGTGTGGTCTGGGGCCAGTTCCTGAACGCCCCTGAGCTGCAGTGTCCACAACTGCCTATGAAGGGTATGTGATTTGCACATGCGCCTCCTTCTGTAAGTGACTGGCACAGTCACTTTGCAACACAAAGGCTGGAACGCCCCATTCATTCAGAACTTTATGTATACTTCTACTCCTGACTCTCCAAGCCCCACTTCCTCTGCCTGTGCTTCCTTATGTTCAATGGAGAAAAACATGAAGAACTAGCTCTGAGGGATTAAGGAAACCCTCCCCACCATTCATGCCCAGGAACTACCTACTAGCTAGAATACTGGTCTTACTAAGCCTTCTGTGTGCTGACACTTTGCCCTGGAAAGGACATACTCATTTCTGGGGAGAAGCACACACCTTCAGAACTAACTGAGGCAGAAGTGAAAAGAGTAACTAAGTTTCTCAAGCACCATCACCATGAGGGACCCAGCCCTGGGATTACCCTCATATTTGGCACACACTCCCTCCCACTCAGACATTTATGCCCATTTTATTGATGTGAAACTGGAGGAAGGGGACGATTTCTTCCTCCTGCCTGATTGGAATCAAGCCTGGATGGGCTTATTCCTAGGCCCCAACTCTGTCTACCCAGTGGCTGACATTCTCTCCTTTGTATCTTTTCTCTCCCTTAAGCTGTCCCATGTTCTTCGGCTTTCACTTGCACAAGGATGACTCTGGCTCAGCTTGGCCATCTCCTCCTCATCCTTTGAGACTCAGCCGACACTGCCTTCTTCTCTCCAGGCTTTTCTGTGAAAAGGCTCGTGCTCTTGACCATGCTCTGCTTCTCTAATGCTTGTTATGGCCTTCCCACCCAGCCAGCGAAGGAGTCAGGTTTGACTGCTATCCTGTGAGCCAAACACAGCTGCTGCTTCAGAACAAGCCAGGGGTAGGGGGTCTGGATCTTTGTATAAGTCCTTGAGGATCTCCTGTGGCACTGATGGAAGGCAGGTTCCTTTCTTGGTGCTCTGTGCCAGCTCCTGGATGAACAAGAAGCGGGTTGGCTTTACAGGAACCAGTGGTGTTCAAGGATGTGGCAGTGGATTTCACCCCCAAGGAGTGGCAGCTGCTGGAGCCAGCACAGAAGGCCCTGTACAAAGATGTGATGCTGGAGAACTACAGGAACCTGGGCTCCCTGGGTGAGGACAGGCTCCCTAGGGCAGGCAGGCGTCCACACAGCTTCCTGGCACTCCTCAAAGTCTCCAAAGCTTTGAGAGATAATAGAGTCCTGCCCTAGGACTGCACACGAGCACGCTGGTGTTAATGATGTTGGCTTGCTTTGGAAGCTACTTCTGCTGGTCTCAAGATAGTGGCCAGCCCTAAGAAGTGCAAGACTTTCCAATTCTGCAACAGATGCTGTTGAAGGTGTTCACGTAGCCCTGTTCCCCCTAATAGTATACCCTTCCTTCTGGTTGGATCTGGCTTCAATAGCATGATCAATTGGCTGATTCCCCTCTGCAGGGATGGGCCCTTCTCCTTAACAATGGTGGGAGGGAGGTGCTGGACAGAGTGGAGGCTCAGAGGCAGCTCTGGGGGCCTTTGTATCGCACTGTGGTTTTTGCCAGTCTACGTCTGGCACCACAGGATTTCTCCAGCTGGAGAGAACTAACACTTCTTCCTGGGGTAGGGTATCTGTTCTACAAACCAAAGCTGATCACCAGGCTGGAGAAAGGAGATGAGCCCTACAATCAGGAGCACCAGGGTCCCGGAGCCCCACAACAAGGACATGCAGGAGTTGGCAGTGGTGAGTAGGTCCCCCTGTGTCTCCATGGAAAACCCTTCCCAACCCACCCATGGAGGCACTGCACACTCAGTGATGGCTATTTCTTGTAGTCTCGCTCTGCCACTCCTCCCGCCAGATCCTCCCATGCCCCCTTCCTCTTATTACTGACTGTGCTTGCTGCTTCCATGCATCCCATGACCACTTTGTCTGCATGCATCCGTGTCTTTATGGTCAAAAGGAATTTATTTACATAGTGCTCGGTGCAGCCTGGTTTAGGATCATCTCCAGTTCCTGCTTCTGTTGTCCTCCTATGGCCACAGAGCATTTCCCAGTAGCACTGTGGGAAATCCTTAGCAAACAAGAGAACCAGAGAGATTTTTAAAAAAATTTTATTGAATCACTGTGAGATAGTTATAAGCTTTCATTATTTGGGTTACAATCACACAATGATCAGACACCCATCCCTCCACCAGTGCACGTTCCCCACCACCAATATCCCCGGTATACCCCCCCTTTCCCACCCTCCCTCTGCCTCCATGGCAGACATAATTCCCCATAATATCTCTCTACTTTTGGGCATTATGGTTTGCAATACAGACCCGGAGAGGTTATCATGTTTGGTCCTTATCTACTTTCTGCACACCTCCCATCCTGACTGATTCCTCCAGCCATCTTTTTCTTAGTGATCCCTTCTCTATTCCAGCTGCCTTCTCCCCTTTCTTTGCTCATGAGGCAGGCTTCCAGCTATGGAGCAATCTATCTGTCATGTGTATCTACTGTCCTTAGGTGTCAGCTTCATGTTATGTTGTTTTATACTCCATAAATGAGTGCATTCCTTCTATGTCTGTCCCTCTCTTTCTGACTCATTTCACTTAGCATGATACTCTCCATGTCTATCTATTTATAAGCAAAGTTCATGACTTCATCTCTCCTGACAGCTGCATAGTATTCCATTTTATAGATGTACCCAAGTTTCTTTAACCAGTCATCTGTTCTAGGGCACTTGGGTTGTTTACAGATTTTGGCTATTGTGAACAGTGCTGCAATGAACATATAGGTACAGATGTCATTTCTACTGTGCTTTTTTGTATCCTCGAGATATAGTCCCAGAAGTGGTATTTCAGGGTCATATGGAAGGTCAATTTTTAGTTTTTGAAGGACTGTCCATATTGTTTTCCAGAAAGGCTGGACTAGTGGGAATTCCCACCAACAGTGGAAGAGTGTCCCTTTTTTTCCACATCCACACCAGCACTGGTTGCTTTTGTTCTTTTGAATATGTGCCAGTCAGAGAGAATTTTTCAAAATGGTACAGAGGATTCTCAAGAGTGTCGTTTTGTTCTACTGTATATTGTAGCATGGATGAGAAGGGGGGGAAAAGCCCAGAGGCATTACTGACACACAACCAAATGGCTTAGTTTCCTGATAGTTGTTTCACTTAAAAGTCAGTTTCCAGGGTCAGGGAGAGAGCACGGGTTAAGGCTCACTCATGCCTGGCTGCAATATGGTCTCCCAGAGAGGAGTCCGAGGGTGCTCAGGGCAACTTTCATTATGGTGACTGCGAAGTGGGAGCTACCCCGATGCCTGTGAAAAATGGAACCCTTCAGTGCACTCTGGGATAGCTGAACAATGGGCAAAGCGGCTGAATTCTTTATCGCTGCACACAGCAATGCCATAATTGTATAGTGCAGTGAAGAAGCCAGTTGCAAAAGTGCCCTAAGTTCATGTATATGCACTGGGCAGCAGCAAGCCAAGGCCCCCAGCACCATTTGAAGGTGAGCTGTGGTTTCCCTTGGGGACAGATAACAAGAAGGAAATATAACAGTGGTGCAGGACCAGTCGATTCTGAGATGTTGTTTCCTGATCATGATTATTACGGCATTTGTTTTAAAAAAATTGTTTGTTCTACTTATATACAGATAGCATCATATTTTCATGAAAAGGGAACTTAACATGAATTTCTTCTTGATAATGCAGCCCTACCACATGAAGTGCTGGGACTATGAGGAGTGATAGCTAATACATTATTAGTATTGAACATTCCACATCACATCCTCCTTGATAGCTATCAACTCTTGCTTTATTTCTGGCACACATATTTAATGTATCTTTATTTTATTATTATTTTTTAATAAATCATTTTTTTTCCTTTTTGGGTCACACCTGGCGATGCACAGGGGTTACTCCTGGCTCTGCACTCAGGAGTCACTCCTGGCAGTGCTCAGGGGACAATATGGGATGCTGGGAATCAAACCCGGATCGGCGGCGTGCAAGGCAAACGCCCCACCTGCTGTGCTATCTCTCCAGCCCCTTTAATGTATCTTTAAACCTTTACTCTGACACATTATGTTTCTTCAGTTATTTCCCACTGATTCTTTTTAGTTGTTTAATTTTGAGCCATACCTATGATGCTCAGGGCTTACTCCTGACTCTGTACTCAGGGATTAATCCTGGAGGTGCTTGGGGACCTTATGTGGTGCTGGGGATCAAACCCAGGTTGGCCGCATGCAGGCAAATGTCCTACCTGCTCTACTATGTTGCTGCCTCCTCATCAATTCTTTTACTCTCTTTATTTGTATTTCATTTGATTTAGTTTCACACACACACACACACACACACTCTCACATACACACACATTCGCTAGTATTGAGGTAGTTGGCATACATGTTTGTGTGAATTGGAGGTAGATGATGTGATGATTTATGTATGTACGTATTGGAATTGATTGCCACAATAAGACTATCACCTCCCCTTCCCTCACATAATTGCTTGCCCCTTGCTTTGGGAGTTCTAATCATGATGTGTACTTAGGATTTGTTTACATTTGGAAGGTACCTTCTAAAACACATCAGCAAAAACAGGTTTAAGGAAGGTTTTTAAAAAGCTATTTATATTCTGAATTTCTTCCAGGCAAGAAGAAGAGGAGTTCAGGGGTGGCAACTCCCAAGTCAGGCACTTCCAAAAACTCATCTCTGAAGAAGGGGAAGCAAATGACCCAGAGATGTATTAAGATGAAAAAGGCTCCAGACAGTGAGGACAGGCTGCCACAGGGACGCGGGAAATCCTGCCCAAGGCAGGCCAGAGGCTCTGCCAAGAAGAAGGGCCCCGGCAAGAAAAATCAGGAGCTGGGGGCCAGACAAAGGGGCGCAAGTTGGTCAGCCACGGGCTCAGGCAAGAACAGTCTCCTAGAAAAGGGAACTCAGGCATCGAGGGCCAGGCCAGGAAGTATGAATCATCTAGTCACAAACTTAGGCAAAAATATTCTCCTTGAAAAGAAAATTCAGGAGCATGGGGCTGGGCAAGGAGGCACAAGTCATCTAGCCACAAATTTAGGTAAAAAGATTCTCCCTGAAAAGAAAATTCAGGAGCCTGGGACCGGGCAAGGAGGTACGAGTCATCTAGCCACAAATTTAGGTAAAAAGATTCTCCCTGAAAAGAAAATTCAGGAGCCTGGGGCCGGGCAAGGAGGTACGAGTCATCTAGCCACAAATTTAGGGAAAAAGATTCTCCCTGAAAAAAAAATTCAGGAGTGCGGGGCAGGGCGAGGAGTTGCAAGTGGACCTGCCACAGACTTGGGCAAAAAGAATCTCCTTGAAAAGAAAATTCAGAGGCCTGGGCCTGAGGGAGGCAGTTCGAGTCTGCCAGGCACAGAGTCAGGTAAGAAGGGTCTCCTTGAAAAGAAAATTCAGGCATCTGAATCGGGTCACTCAGGCACAACTGAGGCACCACAGGATCCTGTTGGGGAGACAGCTGCAAAGCCTGGCACTTCGGAGAAAACACACAAGTCCAAGACAACAAAGCGCCAGTGCCCGAAGGGCAGCAAGGGCAAGGCCCAGTTCACGTGCAAGGAGTGTGGGAAGAGCTTCAAGCAGACGCTGCACCTGGTGGAGCATGAGCGCATCCACACGGGGGAGAAGCCGCACACGTGCGACCAGTGCGGCAAATCGTTCCGCCACAGCTATTACTTCACCACGCACTACAGGATCCACACGGGCGAGCGGCCCTACAAGTGCAAGGAGTGTGGGAAGGCCTTTAACAGCAGCTCCACACTCCACAGCCACTACCGCACGCACACAGGCGAGAAGCCCTTCCGCTGCCCTGAGTGCGGGAAGACCTTCAAACAGAGCACCAAGCTGACACGCCACCGGCGCGTGCACACAGGCGAGAAGCCCTACCAGTGCGACGAGTGCGACAAGTGCTTCAGCCGCAGCTCGTCCCTGAAGGAGCACAAGAGGATCCACACAGGGGAGAAGCCCTATGTGTGCAACGAGTGCGGGAAGGCCTTCCGCTGCAACTCGCACCTGTTCGAGCACCTCCGGATCCACCAGGAGGAGAACTGCCATCGCTGCAAGAAGTGTGGCAAGCGCTGCCGGAGCGCCTTCCAACTGCGCAAGCACAAGAAGCTGCACAAGCCCGTGGCCCGTGCTGAGTGCACCGAGTGTGGGAGAACCTTCACCAGGAAGTCTACGCTCATCAAGCATCAAAAGAGCCACCGGAAGGAGTATTCGTACCACTGCGAGGACTGCGGGAAGGCCTTTCTGTGCAAGTCCAGTGTCCAGCGGCACCAGCGCATGCATGCCGGGGAGATGCCCTACGTGTGCCCGGAGTGTGGGAAAGCCTTCACTGATGGCTCCACGCTCACCAACCACCGCAAAATCCACTCCGTCAAGAGACGCTACGAGTGCATCATCTGTGGCAGTGTCTTTAGGAGGTTCTGCGCCCTGAAACTCCACCGAAACACAGCACACCACACTGAGAAACAGTGAGCCTGGGGTGCTCACACCTGCACTGCCATGAGCCAAAGTGGGAATGTCTGCTTCCTTCATCTTCTGTCATGTGTGTCTGCTGGACTGTCTACAACTGCCCACGCCTACCACATGGAGAAGTGTCCCAGGAGATTCTTGGTTGCTTGACTTGGTGCTGCTTCTGTTTTCAAAGGCACCAAGATCCCCCCGCATAGATGCTCCCAGTCCACATGTTAGCCGTGGAGCTCTGGGGAATTGAATCTGTAGCTAAGTTCAGGTTTAGTTTTTGTTTTTCAGTTTTGATAGTTACTTCCTGTATGTGGCTATTTAAAAGAAAACAAAAAAAAAAGCCCCCGTTGATCGTCGATTTGCTCGAGCGGGCCCAGTAACGTCTCCATTGGAGACTTTGTTGTTACTGTGTCTGGCATATCGAATACTCTCGGTAGCTTGCCGGGCTCTCTGATACAAATCCATAAAAAATTAAATAAAAAAAAACACTATTTTTCCAGCCATACTAGTCACTTCTCAGTACCTCATGGCTGCAATATTGGACAGCTCCGTTAGAGACTTTTCCACCGCTGAAAAAATATTCTGTTTAGTACTGACTGACAGCTTTTAAGTTGCCAGAATTATCACACCATGTCAGCCCCCAGAAAGTGCAGGTGTAAGGTACCACTGTGAGAAGCCAAATGTAGCATATTCTAAATGGCTTCCAAAGTATGCTGGACACTGAAAGCCTGTGGAATAGGAGCTATCATTCCTGTTTTGTACGTGTAGGCTCATGAGAGTTTTTCATTAAATGATTAGTTATTTCAAAATTTTGCATGTAAAATGAGACTGTTACTATTTTTATATTCTACTCATAATCTCAAGATTCAGCCACTCATAAAGGGTAAGTGTATTTTTTTATACAGCTGCTTTCATGTCTTCCAAACTGCTCTCTGAGTCCAGAAGTGTGGCTCCACCTTTGGTGCAGTTGACAGAGGGCAGTCCAGGTCAAAGGTGGAAAAACTACAGCTAAACCCAGCCTGTTTTTTCAAATAATATTTTTATTAGAATATAGCGCTATCCATTTGTTTGGTTGTGATTGTGCTTTCAGTAGCAAAGTTAAGTAGTTACAGCAGAGACTGGGTGGTACACAGAGCCTTGACTGTTCACTGTGAGACCCTGGACACATCTGATATCCTACTTGTGGGCCTATCCAAAGAAAATGAAGACATTAATACAAAGGTTACAGCCACCCGCAACATTTATTGATAGTTCATTGGATAAAGAAGCTATTCTACATATATACAAACAATGAATAGTATCCAGCTACAGAAAGGTGCAAGTTTGTCATTTACCATTAAATGAAAGATCTCAAAAGGATTATAGGAAGCAAAATAGAATTTTTTATCTTTCTCCAGAGGAAGACAAGTATGGGATGATCTCACCCATGCATGCAGTATAAAGATATAAAATTGATGAATGACAAAACCAAAACCGAACTGGTGGGCACTGCCAATAAAACTAAAATTACCTGAGGAGAAGAGGGTGATGAGCAGGACAGAGAGTGGAGGGACGAGATGGAGGACAGTGAGCTTTGCTTGCTTTAGAAAAGTATTTACTTAGCCATACTCAAAACCGCTAAACTGAAATGAAGAAGGTGGGAGTATGAGAATGGGCAGAAAAAGGAGAAAATAATTCTGGGACTTTTGTGATGATGCGCAATATAAAAGATATTTTGTATTGCAGTTCAGCCTATATATATATATATATATATATATATATATATGGACATACATGCATACTTGAAAGGCACCACTTGTCCTGCTTACTTGCACATGCTTATTCTCTTAGCCTTCAAAAGTACTGGCCGTGACACCCCCCTCCCTGTGATATCACTAAGCAATTGGGGGGTGTGCCCCCTCTTTGCCAGATCTTTGTTCTGTGCCTAGGGACCTGGGCAACCTGGTAGTAACTGATACTACCTCCTTGAGCTGGAGGTAGTATCACTTGCCCTGGAAGCAGCTTGGAGGCTGATACAGACCATTTCCCTGAGTCCTTCCTGAGCTCCAGAATGGTTCCGTCCCCTCCTGTCCAGCCCTGTGAACACTGAGGAAGCACAGACAAAAAGCAAGCATGCAGAGTGCAAGGACAAGAACCACCCAGGACTCTGCTCTCAGGGATACATCTTTGCTTTTGCAGTCCCATCTTAAGAATTATCTTAAGAGAAGGGCTGGAGGAATAGGAAGGTGTGGTAGGCCCTTGTTTGGGAGACATTTGTATTTGGAGATGGAGAGGTGAGGGGGAAGAGAAGGCCTGAGATACCAAATTCTTTTTGGTTGCCAACAACAGAAACCCAACTCACATGAGTTAAAGGCATGTACTGGCTCACATCCTGGGAAGTTTTCTTGCCTGAAATTGTCTTTGCAGTCAAATGCTTTCCGTCAGCTTTGATTTTAGAGGCTGGAGCAGAGAATTGGAGGCAGGCACAGCTATGTTGCACTCCCTCATCTCTGTGCCTTTGCCTCATCGTTCTCTCGGCATGCAGAGCACTCTTCATAATGGGTACACCTATCAGCAGCCCCAGTATTGAGGCCTTGGGCTGAGCTTCCTTGCGGATTCTGAATCATTCCTAATAAAGCATCCCAAATGAGCAGTTATAATCTGGTGAAGGAGTTGGGAGATCTTACTTTCTTTTCCTCCTTTGAGCCATTACAGTGAGAATTGTCATAGTTGGACATTGTTGAAGAGAACATCAACCAGGGAGAATGGACATGAGGGAAGATAGAAGCATTAGTTCTGAGGAAGGCTGACATACTACAGGAGAAGTAGCTGGGGTAGCAGTAGGTTGGCACTTGCAGGATGGAAAGAAGTACAAGACTTCTAAGATAAGTATGGAAATATGGGACCAGTATTGCTAAGAATCATATTAACAATATTAAAAATATGGAACCAGTATAGTTAAGAATTAAATGGAGAGGATCAAGGAGAGGCAGTTATGTTGGATGACTCTCTGGGGTCCAAGCAGAAAAGACTGGGATGGGGCAGATTGGACAATAGGAATTGAGAGTTCATTTGCTTCTGGAGTTGAGTTGGACTAAAGAACTAAAGTTGAACTGACTGTTGGCAAAAACTGAGAGTTCATTAAAGTTGCATGTGGTTAATTGAATTTTTGTGTCTTGGCTGTTTTTTTACTGGAGGGAGAGGGCATTGGGTTATACTCAGTGGTACCTCAGTATTATATCTGGTGGTGGTCAGCAGACCTTATTTGGTACCAGGGATCAAACCAAGTAAGGAGTGGGTGGTCTGTGTGTGCAAAGGGTGACACATTTTAGGTTGTATCTGTGGGAGTTTGTGAGAGTGAAATGAAAGTGTATGAGTGTGTAGGAGTGAGAGTGTATATAAGTGTAAGTGTGTGAGAATGTGAATGAGAGTGTATTAATGGAAGTGTGTGAATAAGAGTGTGTGTGAGACTTTCCTGGTTGGCAAGCCCACTGATGGTGTTGTGTGATGCCTTCGGACACAAGTTATGTGAATCTGCCACAGCCCCACCCCCAGGCATGCCCACTGATGTTGGGGCACGTGAGAGCTCACATGATGTATGGCCACATGTGCTTCAGACCACACCACTCCCATATCCCATTCAGAATCCCCACTGAGAAGCAAGTGCATGTGCACTCTCAGGAGAACAAGAAGGAGCTTCTTCTGGCAAGGCTGGGGCTTGTCTGGGAGGGCTAAGAAGTAACAAGTGTGTGTGAACCCCTGAGTGACGTTCTGAGCGGCATCAGTCTTTGTCGTCTGTGGGGCAGGCAAAGAAACCTATAAAGGTGGTAAGGGAGAGTGGGGCAGTTATGGGGCACATTTAAGGGCACAGCAATTCTCCTTTATTTCGCCCCTCCTTAGTCCCCCAGCACCCCCATGTTTCACTATTATCCCACACAAGCCGTCCCTTTCTCGGCCACTAGGCCAAACCCTTGGCAAACATGCAGCACACTAGGGCGCACATGTCCAATAGGCACCGCTGCCTGAGGGCACAAGTTATGTGAGTGTGCCATAGCCCGAACCCACAGGCACACACACTGATTTTGCAGCATGAAGCCCACTGAGGCATAGGCACACCCTGCCTCGGGGTACAAGATACATAGCTGCTAGGAGCCCCAGCCCCATGAACCAAGAGCTAGGAGAAGGGTCTGCGGGGGTGAGGTACTAGGGCTAGGGGCCAGGTGTCTGGGCCCTGAGCAAGAACCAGCAAAGTCTTGGTGATGTGGGGTGGGGCTACATGCTGGGTTCCATCACAACTGTCAACTGTTAAGTGTCCACAAGCTAGAACTCAACTGCCAACCGAAACACATTTGTTTCAGCGAGATTTTTCAAGGTTTTACTCACATACCAAAATGCACTTATACAAGGAACTCAGCGCTGAGGGCACTCATATAAGAGATTCAGCGCTGGGGGTTCATAAAGCCTAAAAGACTTGGGACCTCAAGCATCTGTGTAGCAGGCATTATATACTCTTTTTTAGGTTACAAAAAGAGAATACATCTTGTCCTTTCACATGGCAGTTACATTCCCATCTAAGAGCAAAGCAGATGTACATAAGCAAAATGGAGCGGTTAAAACATCATGACTTAGCTAAACATCTGTAGGGGTCCGAAGCCCTTTCATGGATGAGAAAGTGCTTGAAAATGACTTAGCTAAACATTTGTAGTGATGAGTCAGTGGCCTTGAGTCTGGCCTTGGGTCTGGCCTGTTTCTTCTCTCTGTATGTCTGTGGGTGGTCAAGGAGGGACTATTTCAAGATGGAGTTACTTTTGTCTCTCATCAACATCATCATCTTATTATCTTTGTCGATTTATCACTAATGTGATTTGCCTTTCAGGGCCATATCACAGGATAAGGGTGCCCAGAAAAATTGGGGGGCGGGTGCTGTTGCAGGTGAGTGGGGCTGTGTGTGTGTGTGTGTGTGTGTGTGCGCGCGCGCGCGCCTGTGTAAATGGACCTGTGTGTGTAGATGTGTGGGGAACCATGTATGTCTGTATATATGTGTGTGTGTGTGTATGGGTATGTGAGAGAGAGCATGGGTATGTGAGAGAGAGTATGGGTATGTGAGAGAGTTGTCAGCCAGCCAGCAGCCTGCGGCGGGGGGTGGGGGGGGATGGGGGGGGAGGTTGCGGGAACCCTAACTCAAGTAGCCCTCTCTTGCCCCCTAGTGGAGAAAGGATGGGGTGCAGCAGCAGCAGAGGGAAGGGTGTGTCTGAAGTCCCAAGGCAGCTCTGGGGAAGCAGCAGGCCCTTCAGGAGGGGTCTGAAGCCCTTTCATGGATGAGAAGGTGCTTGAAAAGCTACTTTTGAGCTTTCAGTGAATCTTCAGCCTAGTCCATCCTGGGGATCCCAGGGAGCAGTTCCAGTGCTCCTAGTTTGTGCCTCTGCAGCTGGGTGTGCACATACGCTGTGGGGGTGTGGGCACCGTGTCCATGTATGTGGTGAGAGCCCAGGAGGCCTGGGGGTACTTAGGTCAGTGTAGGGTGATGGTTGCATGTG